GCCATAATGTTATTCCTAACACACATAATTACTACAGCATAATTTTACTACTAATGTCTGCATGCCCCTGTTTCCTGGTTTCTGGATTCTATGCATTATGCCTCCGTCAAAAGCATGGCCCTCGTGGCTTTCAGCCCCTACTGAGGTGACCAATAAATAGACAAATTACAGGAGCATAAAAGTCTTGAGGCTTTTGAATCTTGGAAAAGGAAAGCTTTTTAGGCACACACAAGCTTCCACTGGATTATCTGTCTTTCTGAAAAACACTGGGAAAAAGAGTTTGGTAATGACCTGGCTGTGAGACCTCCACACCACTTTGTCCCCACTCCCCCTCCTGCCTGCGCCTATAGAGACAGAGAACAATTGTGGGTGATAAAAGCTGTTCCCAGCAATACAACAGGTGATAGCTGATGCGGAACTCGAGTCATTTTCCCTTGAGAGAACAGTTGAGGACCAGATAGAATGAACCAGCTGAGTCTCTTCAGGTGCTTAACTTTTATGCAAGGGCTCTGGAGTTCAATAATTCATGCTAATACAGCCAGCAGCAAGCAAATTGCATTCACACTCTATTCGGATTTTGATTACAAAACAGAGCCCCAAATGAGTTTTATGATGGAAAGACGTACTAGGTGACTTCAGCTGGATGAAAGGGAATGAGGGTGATAGAAGCACTAGGGCTTTGGTGAAATGAGCCTAAGTCAATCTCGAGTCTGCATACACTGGCTATGTGACCTTGCGTGGTGACATTGAACATCTCAGAAGTTCTGTTTCTTCAGCAATAAAATTGGGTGATACCACCTACTTCATAGGACTTTGAGATCATATGAGTGAGATAATACATGGAAAGTACATTCATGTAATAATGTAAAAAAATTTCTGTGGCTTGCTAAAACCACAATAAATGTCAATTTCCTTCCTCTCTCCTTATTCTCTCTCTCTCTCTCACCACCCTCCTTCCCTCTTTACAGCATGGAAGCCAATGTTTCCTGTAAGTATGAATGTAGAACTGAGAATACCAGGGGATGGGTTATCTAGAATGAAGAGAAAGAAGATGAAAAGAGCCTTCATGTTAAAAATAAAATTTACAGTTTGCTTCCAGAATACTTACCTATACTGAGGGGAGATGGAGAAAAAATTAAAATGGTCAGGCAATTAGTACTATCTCAGAGTTTCAAAGTTTATGCATCTTTAAAGAGATTTAAGCATTTTGTGCAATTTTAGTTTAATATACTTGCTCAGTGGTCATTAAAATACATAAGCTAATTGCACTGGAATGTCTTCCAGAAAAGAAAGGAGAAAAGCAGCTTAGCCGTTTACAAAACCTACATCAAAACTCCATTGCTCCCATTTTAGTTAGAATAAGATATGACTCAGACCAGGGGCATCAGACTTGGATGCTGAGGGAGCTCGATAAAAATGAAGCTACTTGAATCATACTCCAAGAGATTCTGGTCGTGTAGGCCAGGGATGGGGTCCAGAAATCTGCATCTTTAACATCTCCAGGGATTCTGATACAGGTGAACCACAGACTCCATTTTGAGAAACACTGTCTGAATGGATAAGAGCTTGGGGCTTGGGGATAGACAGACCTGAGCTCAGATCCTAAATCTACCATTTTCTAGCTTCATGAACTTGGGCAAATTTTTAACCTCTGATCCTCAGTTTTCTAATCACAAGTTGTTGTGAGAATTAAATAAAATATATTGTGGAGTGCTTAGCACAGTGTCTGGCACATGGGAAGAAGCACTCAATAAATATTAGCTATTGATACTGTCATTATTATGCAAAGTCAAAGGGACTTCGATTCTTTTTTTCTTGTTTTTTCATTCTTCCTTTCTCTCCTTTTTTCTTTCCTTTTCTTCTCTTTTTACAAATCCAAACTAACAGTGCATTAAGCAAGATGGAAGTTTACTTAGCTTTCAGACAAAAGTCTGGAAGTAAAGTAGTCCAGGACTGGTCTGGCAGCTCTGCAACCCAGACTACTTCCTTCCCTATTTAGGTATGACCCTGTCGGGGGAAGAGGGAGAATCTCCCTCTGCCCTTTCCCTTAAGGTTCTTATGGCTGGCCAAATAATTAACAAGACAGGTTAGCAGGAGAAAATAATACCAAGTTTAATAACATGTATACATGGGAGAAACTCAGAAATGAGCAACTCGTCCCTCTGTCTAAGCTTCTTGCTTAAGTATTGCAGCTAAAGGCGAAGGAACATGTTGGGGGTGGGTAGTGGCCTGGGACTTCAGAGGGCAGAAGGACAATTCTTTTCAGGGTCATCTATTGATAATTTGGTCAGGGAGAGATAGAGTTTTTTGATAAAAGGGGCTTGGTGCCCCTCCCATTGCAACATCTATTTTACATTATCTTTATAGCCATCATGATAGAAGATCTGTTCCAGGAAGGAGCCACCATGCCAGATTCTCTAGGCAGTTAGTGGGGGAGGTCAAATATCCTTATTGTCTTCAGCTCGAAATAATCCGCATACCAGAGTGGTGCTTCCTGGGGCAGCTTGCCCTGAGCACCATCAACCCTTATCCACATTGTTCAAGATGGCAGCTAGAGCTCCAGCAATTGTATGTGCATTCCACACAGCAAAACAGAGGAAAGGAAAAAGAAAATCAGTCTCTCTCAGTAAGGACACTTCCTAAAAGTTGCTTATACACCATTGGCCAGAACTTTGCCAGAGAGGCTTGAAAATGTGACCAGTGTTCCAAGTGGTCATGTACCCAGAAAAATGTGATTTATATTACAATGGAGAATTAGAAAGAAGGAATATGGAGGGACAGCTATTGTTCCCTGGAATACCCAACCATAGGAGTTTAGCAGATTCAGATCATTTCCCAGAAATTCTCTGCTCTGATCCTGCTTCTGCCTGCTTATTTCTCAGATAAGGAACATCTTCTCCAAAAAGGTAGTCGCATGGTTTGCTGATCCTGCTCAGCTTGGCTTATCTTCTTCCTAAATCCTCCCATGCCTTTCACTTCTCATCCCTCAGCTTTATTCGTTTTCTTTTTACTGTCCAATTTTAATAGGCAATACAACTATTTCATTATAGAAAAGTTAGAAAACACTGCTAAGCACTTAGGGAAACAATTTTTTTAATGTTCAAATATCTCACCACTTAGAAATAACCACTCTTAAAATGTTGATGTATAGCCATCTAGCATTTTCCCCAGGTAAAAACATACATGTGTATTTATAATGAAAGCCTCGTCTACATAACTGTTTTTAACCTCTTCTATTATACTTAACCATATATTTTGAGTAACTCTCAATGTTATTAATTATAGATGAACATCATCAATTTTAATGACTGTAGGGTTTCCCATTGTGTAGGTGCATCATAATTTATTCAACCAATTTCATTTATCCACAACACTGTGCTAAACCTCCTAGTACATACATCGTTGCTTACTTGTCCACTAGTTTCCCGAGGATGAGCTGTGTTCCTGTGGTTTTCTAACTCTCTAAGCTCTCCTTACAGTATCCAGGGACCAGCAGAAAAGCACTGCTCTACCATCCCACCAGCAAGGTGCTGTTCAGGTCTAGTCTCTACCCCTAAGCTGCTTGAAATTCCCTTTAGAATGAACCTTGCAGACTCAGAAGGTCCTTGAAGAACTGAATTAATGCCCCTTCTACCCTCTTATGAATAACAAGACTGCCACCAGGAAAGGGGACTACTTCACCCCATTGCTGAGAAAAGCACGAAATAAAACACAATCCCAGGCAACACTGAAGGGCTTTCTGTTAAACCTAAGTTATCAGAACTGTCAGTTTGCCAAACTGACTTCAAACAAGACCAGAGTGACGCCATTTCTGTGTGGAGAAACCACTTCTAATTAGAAAAAAATGCATTTGATTGAAATAATTACTTAGAAAGACAACTGACTTGACAAATGATGATTCTTTAGCTGATTTTTTTTAAAAAACTGATGATTGATCTCTGTTGTTTTTAATCTCAGTTGCACTTCCTAATGATCCAAACACTCATGAGGTTTACACTTTCTAGAGTAGACTGAAGACAAATGTTGCATCACTCTCATATAGCACTTTCTATGTTCAGGGAGTTCTTTTGTTTGTTTGTTTTGCTTGTTTGTTTTTTTGTGTGTGTGAGGAAGATTGGCCATGAGCTAACATCCGTTGCCAATCTTCCTCTTTTTGCTGAGGAAGATTGGCCCTGAGCTAACATCTGTGCCCATGTCCCTCTATTTTGTACATGGGACGACGCCACAGCATGGCTTAATGAGTGGTGCGTAGTCCGGCTCTGGACCCAAACCCGCAAACCCTGGGCCACCAAAGCAGAGCAGGCAAACTTAGCCACTACACCACCGGGCCAGCCCCTTCAGGGAGTTTTTACCTCAATTTTCTTCCTATCAATACTGAGGAGTAGGTAGAAATGATATAGTTAGCCCTCCATTATAGATGACGACTATAAGAGATGTCATTCATTGAGCACACACTGTGTACCAAGCAATGTGCTAAATGCGTTAGGAACATAATTTATTCCTCACAACTACCCTCATGAGGTGGGTATTCTGTTATTGCCCCATTTTATAAATGAATATGATTTAAGAAAGATTAAATAACTTGTCCGTGGTCACACAAAAGGAAAGAGTTGGAGCCAGATTCCAAATTAGTATTCAGGCCCCAGAGAGAGTCACTCACTCACTCAAGTTCACATAGTTGTGGAGTCAAGTCCGAAACCCTGTTCCTGGCATAGTGGTTAAAAACAGGGGCTCTAGTATCAGGTAGCCTCAGTTCAGATCCCATAGCTGTCATTTCCCCGCTGTGTCACCTTAGACAAGCTACTAAACCACTCTGTGCCTCAGTCATCCTATCTTAGAAATGGGGATAATAAGAGTGTCTATCTCAAAGGTTAAATGGGATGATCCACATCCAGCACTTAGCACATAGGAAGTGCTCAGTGGTTAGTTATTAATATGATACCTTCCCTCTCTCCAGCCTCTAAGCTAAGTACACATGTTATTGGTCTGTGCCACTGCAGGTGCCTCGAGCAAAGGCCTTATGCAACTACCGAGGGCAGAGTCCCGGTGACCTGAGGTTTAATAAGGGAGATGTCATCCTCCTCCGGAGACAGCTTGATGAGAACTGGTACCAGGGGGAGATCAATGGAGTCAGCGGGGTCTTCCCCGCCAGCTCCGTGGAAGTCATCCAGCAGCTGCCCCAGCCACCCCCACTCTGCCGGGCCCTGTACAACTTCGACCTACGAGACAAGGACAAGAGTGAGAACCAGGACTGCCTGACCTTCCTCAAGGTGAGAGTCGGGGGGCTGCCAAAGTCACCAGCGACCACATAGAAACTGGCAGAACCTGGAGGTGTTCGCTTGATATTTGCTGATTTTTTTTTAATTATATGTAATTATACACAAATGAGTGTATTTATGTATATATGTGTGCATGTATATGTAATGTGTGTGTATGATTCAAACCACATAGAAGTGCTGTCACTAGAGAAATCTAATGAGTTTGATAGGTATCCTTAAACCTTTTCTATCGCAATTACAAAAATAAGTATTCATACATTCATTCATTCATTCATTCCACAATCACTTTTGAGCACCTATTCTCTGCAGGCACTGGGGATACAGCATGAAGGAGTCACATTCCCTGCCCTCAGACGCAGTGGTGGGAGAAACAGACGTGGACAGAAAATGACAAACACAGGTTGATAGCGTGCTGTGCAAAACTACAACTCCTACCTCTTCATCTGTATCTGTAAGGGTAGCCTTGCTGACCAAGTTCTAACCACCTAGTTGTACTCACTTGTTGTAAACATCATTCTACTCGTTTTGTTCTACTCGTTTTGTTGTAGACATCGTATTCAATGCATTTGTCGTAAACTTTGCATTCAAACACTCCAAACACACACCATAACATAATTATACCTTTATACATAAATAACCTCTTACAAGATATATTTTCTGAGCGCATTAACTACCCCGAGATTTTTTGCCTCTTTTTTTATTGGATGATTCTTCACCAGGTACAAGTAACAACACTTCTATTAAAGCCTAGACTACTTAAATTCTCTGTATTCAGTATTTATTATTCCTTAAACGTTCAGATTTTCTCATAGAAACCAAAGTTGGGGTGATTTTCATTCTTTGCTACTTCTGATAAGTAGATCAAATACAAGTGGAACTGCTACACAGCTCAGGAAAGGTCTTTTGTTTCGTAAAACATTTTTATTCACCACTACCAGAAATGAGATTTACTTCACATTCCCTCAAACTAGACAACCTCACTGTCCTCCATATTATGACGGACTGACCATTATTGTCTTGGCAGCTCAGAATGAGTCCCCTATGGAAGGTTGTTCTGTAGCCCCAACTGCGAAATCTATACTTCAACTGCAGTTAGAGGAAGGGCAGTTCAACTCCACAAGTATGGATTGAGTATTTACTTCGTGCCAGGCAGTAGACAGTGGGCTGTGGGGACACAGCTGGTTTTTACCCTTCTCTGGGAATTTGCAGACCGGGACACTTATTCCACCTGCTCACTCCTTCATTAAGCCCATCCACATGCCAAGTTGTGCACTGGGCATAAAGTGATGAGTCATTGTCCCTACCTTCACGGAGCCAGCAGTCTAGTGGAAGGAACAGACACATAAATGGGAAATTATGACAAGGAATCAGAAGAGAGAATTTGATCCATTCTGGAGGGCAATGGAAGGCTGAGACTATAGTAGGAAATCCGGTGGTCTTCCTAAATTCTGCATGTTCAAATTAAACACAAGATCTTCTCTCCTCAAACCACTCTTTTCCTAGTGTTTTCTATCTCAATAAATTGTACAATTTATTCACTCAGTCATTTATTCGTGCATGTCTACATGCATTCAAGAAATATTTATTGGATGACTACTAAAGGGGAGCCACTGTATTAGGTGCTGGAAACACAGAAATGAACAAAACAGATACAGGCCCTCCACACATGGAGTTTATGGTCTGATGGGGTGGGCAGGCATTAAAGAAATAATATCCTGTAAATGTGTAATTGCAAATTGTAATAAGGACAGAAAAAGCTAAGAAAAGGTATAATGCAGTAGTAAATTTAGATTTGGATTCATCTAAATTACTGAGGGGCATGGATCAGAAGGTCAGAGAGATAGTGGATGAATATCCAGGTTTAGATTGATGAACGGGTATGGACGTGGAAAGGTGTCCCTGATATGGTATTAAGAGAAAAGTCAGTGTGTCCTGTATGACTGTATTTGCATGAAGTACAAGAAAAGGCAAAATGAATGTATATCCTGGGAGTCAGAATAGTGGTTACCTCTTGCTAGGTGATAGGAAAGGGTACAAAGGAGCTTCTGGGTGCTGGATGTGTTCTATATCTCTTAATCTGGACTGGGGTTTCGTGGATATAGTCAACGTAAAAATTTATCAGGCTTTACATCTAAAATTTATGTGCTTTATTATGAGTACATGTGTATGTTTCTGGAAACAATTTTAAAAATTAGTATGTTTATATGTATATATGTTTTATCCTCATAGAAAAGAATCTGAGGGAAAATGTGTTAACCAAGATGTTAACAGTGGTTGTATCTATGTTGTGGCAGAATTTTCTCTTGGTTTTGCTTATCTGTATTTTCAAATGTTTCTACAAGTCTACATATAACCTTTGTAATGAGAAAAATTTGAATAAAAAGTCATTTTACAATTAAAAATTGAATAGGTTCTGAAAAGTCTTCCAAATCACAATGAAATTCATTCTTCCTTTTGTTAAAGTCTGTCTCCCTCTGGCTTCTATCTTGATTTCTCCACCATGTTAATTTAAATGAAAAGCCCAGATTCTTCTGGTGATTGAAAATTAACATTTCCAAGTTTTCCTGTTGGATTCCATTAATCCTCCAACTTATTTCTACTCTTCTTATGGTCTTGGTGACTCAAATACTGCCCTTTATGGAGAAAGATCATTTTAGCAGGAAGAATTTATAAACAAATCATGAAAGAACTACATTCCTTATACCTTACACCATCTGGGACTCCAAGCTGATCTCCATTGAGGGGTTTCAACACCTGGAAACTGAGAGTAAATATTGACCATGAGACTTTCTCTCTTTCAGGATGACGTCATCACTGTGATCAGCCGCGTGGATGAGAACTGGGCAGAAGGAAAGTTAGGAGACAAAGTAGGCATCTTCCCAATCTTGTTTGTAGAGGTACGTGAGTATCAAGTCTACATCTGATTCAAGCTTACTCAGAAATAATCACGTGGCACAGTGATTCCTGAGAGTAATTCCTATTTGATATGAGGCTTATTTCAGAACTAACTGAAGTCTCTGAAGAAAAGATGCCAGATGATAGTACCCAGTTCTGGCAAGAGGGGGGAGAAATGGACCTTTTCTGCTGATAGGAGTGTAAACTGGTGCAATCTCTCATATCCGAACTCAAATAAACTCATATCAAGAACATTAAAAAGGTACATCTCCTTTGAGTCAGCAATTCCACTTCTGAGAGTTTATTGTAAGGAAATATTAAAATAAGTATGCAAAGATGCATGTACAAAATATGCAAAAATGTTCACCAGAGCATTGTGTATAATGGTAAAAAAACAGAAATAATCTAACTATCCAACAATAAGAATTTAGTTTTTAAAAATTATGGTGATAGAAAAATATATATCCATTAAAAATAATGTTATAGATGAATATTCAGTATCATGGAGTATTTGGTATTATGGAAAGATGTTTGTGATTTATTGTTAAGCAAAATAAAGCTGAATGGGTATAGAGTTGCAGATTTAGAAGATGAAAAAGTTCTGGAGATCTGTTTCACAACAATGTGGATGTACTCAAAACTACTGAACTGTATACTTAAAAATGGTCAATATGGTAAATTTTATGCTATGTGTTTTTTACCACAATAAAAAGAAACAAATTGAACTATATAAAACTAGCTTTATAAATATATGCACGTATATATATATGGATAAAGGACTAAAAGGAAATGTACCAAAGTATTAACAGTGGTGATCACTGAATGATGAGATTTTAGATGATTTTCATTTTCTTTGTATTTTATAAATCTTCTAACATGAGCACATATTACTTACTGTTGTTTTTTAAAGAAAGAAAGAATACGTTAGGCTATTTACCTATTTCTCCAATATAATAATATCACGTGGAGTCCCTAACCTAGCCTTCAGCCTCGCCCTGGCTTGAAGCAAGTCATTACAAATTTAGAAGTGAGATTTTATTGTTTAACTGCATTGATTGCGTGCTTACCAGGCATAAAGCATTAAAAGTGAGCAGTGGGGAGCTAGGAAAGAAGTGAAAGGCATGCTCCCTGCCCTCTAGTAGGGTGGGGTGAAAACAGAAGACAGGCGTGATTGGAGAGAAGGCCAAGTCTTCCATTCATAAGAGCCAAAGCAGGTTCTGAAGGGCACGGCGTGCCCAGAACGCTGTCCAGCTTTCACAGTTCTTTATACCCCGTCTACTCGGTCAGTGTGGAAGGGGTGGAAAATGGAAGGGAGGGGTGGAGGAAGGGTCCAGAGAGGCTGGTCTTCTTACTGTCTCTACTAAACGGTATTCTCATTCCTAGTGCTTTTTCTCTTGCTGAGGCCCCTTCCAGGTAGACCCACCCAGTGCTTTCTACTTGTTCAAATTTCACTCATTTTACAAGGCTCAGCTAGAACCCCACTTTCTCCATAAAATTTCAGCAACTACTTGAACGCTCAGTTGTCTCTTTCTTCTCTGAGCACCTGATGAGTGTGTTGCTTACACTTCACAGGCTAGCCTAACATAGAACAGGTTAAAAAATTAGCTTAGGGGCTGGCCCGTGGTGTAGATGTTAAGTTCAAGCGTTCCACTTCAGCGGCCGGCCCGGGGTTCACAGCATTGGATCCTGGGCACGGACCTACTCACCACTCATTAAGCCATGCTGAGGCAGTGTCCCACATAGAAGAACTAAAAGGACCTACAACTAGGATATAAAACTATGTACCGGGGCTTTGGGGAGAAAAAAGAAAAAGAGGAAGATCGGCAACAGATGTTAGCTCAGGGCTAATCTTCCTCAAAAAAAAAAAAAAACTACCTTAACAAGTGAATGATTGAAAAAATATCTGAGAGGCGGTCAGACTAACCAGGAAAAAAGTTAGAGAACAAACCATACACTGTGACCCCATCCTAAACATATATTCAATCATTCAACTAATTTTTCATTGACTGCCTGCTATATCCGGTCTTGGCCTAAGTTCTAAAGATACAAGACAGATATGGGCCCCTACTTTCAGGGATTGTAAAGTCAGACATTAACCAAGTAATTGTGTGGTGAAGAATGCAAAGAATGAAGTAAAGGGAACTATTGTGGGGAGAGAGAGTATGATGTGCAACTTCATCATAAATGTAGAAATCATACAAGGGTCAGCAAATGCCTCTTAAGCCAAGATCTGACAGATGATTAGGATTCATGTAGGTAAGCATGGAGGGAAGAGTGTTTTAAGGAATGGAGGTAACATGTGCAAAAGTCTTGGAGGATGAGAAAGTGTGATGTGTTCAAAGACCAAAAGAATACTAGAGCTGGAGTTAAGAGAATAAGAGAGTGACAAAAAATGAAACCAGGGAAGTAGATGGGAGACAGATCACAGACAGCTTTGTAAACCATCCTGTATTAGTCAGGGTGAGGTAGGTTATTCTATGATAATAAACAGCCCCTAAGTCTCAGTAGCTTAACAAAGAAAAAGTTATATGTTCAGCACAGAATGGTGAGAGGCTCTGCTCACATAGTTACTTAGGATCCCAGACTAGCAAAGTTGGAGCCATCTTGTAGCTGCACCTTCTGGAACACATGGACTTCCTAGTTTCCCCAGCAGGGGAAGAGTAAGGAAGAGTGAGGCATATGTCAGCAAAGGCCTTAGCTCAGAAGTGACACTTGTCACTCCTGCTCATAGCCCATTGGCCTGAACCAGTCACATAGCCTCGCCTGTCTTCAAGTCAGCTGAGAAATATAGAGGAGTACATGGAATGTTTGGTGAGTGTCATTGTCTCTACCATATCCTAAGAAGTTTGGACTTGACCCAAAAATCAGTAGGTCATAGAAAGATTTTAAGTGAGGCAATGACTCCATCAGATTTGGATTTCTTAAAGACTGCTGTAGCGGCAGTGGGAAGAATAATTTGACGGAGAGAGAGCAAAAAAGCAGAAAGACCAGGTAGGAGGCTACTGCGTGGCTCAGTTAGAAAATGATTGTGACTTGGACTAGTAGATTGGAAACAAATGGACAGATTCAAGGACATTTTAGAGGACTGGGAGGTTGACAGAAGTGGGGGATAGGGGAGAGGGAGTGGTCAAGGATCATGCCCCACTTTCTGATTTGTGTGCCTAGGTCAGTGGTGGAGCCGTTTGCTGGGTCAGGCAACATTTGCTGCAGGTGAACAATTACATGATTGGGAGACAATGGTGAAGTCTCCAAGCACAGAGATCAGCTACAACTAGTACCTAGTCGGACACATAGGAGGTGCTTAAATTTTTGCAGATTAGAGCTTGCATGGTCCCCTGCATTATTTCAAGAAGCTTCTTCATAGCTCTGGGAAGAAAAGGCACCACTGATTTTATTACCTATTTCTGCTACCCTTTTGTCCAAAACTTCTACATTTAATGATTATTCATTTGAATATTCTCCCCACCACTTTGCCTCTAAAATTAGTGATTACAAGAACCCTCAAGATTATCATCAAACTAGCCATTGATTCATTTGTTCTCCTAATTGCTAGGAGAGGAAAAAGATAATCAAGTGGTTGCTAATCTGGGAACCTGGTTTTCAAAAATTACTTGAAATCTAAATTGAGCTTTTTAAAGCAGGACTTAAATTTTGACTCTAGTCATTTCATTAAGACTAGCACTTGCTGAGAACTCTCTAAAATAAGTTGTGAATTACCAGTGCCATGCAAAACAATTGGAAAGACAGAACGCTTTCTTATGAGAGTGACGTGGTTTTTTTGGCATAAACAGGATTGTTCTTGTTAATGTATCGTTTGATTTATTAAATTGCACCTGGATAAAAAAAGGTGGTAAAACAAACACTGAGCTTACGCCCAGTCTTGTCAGGACTTCTCCGGCGGGGCCTGCCTCCGTTGTATGAAGCTTGCTCAGCCCAATGAACCTCTCCAAGGATATTGCTTCAAATGAGTGGGTGCAAATTTAAAAGATCTGCAATCCTTCCCCAACTGAGCCATTAATCACATTGGCAGAGGACAGAGCAGACCGAGAGTCACATGGGACCTTTTGTCAATGTTGCTGATGGAAATGCTGACGGAGTTGCTTAGCTGGGGACAGAACAATTAGGCAGAGGCAGAAAAAGATTAACTTATTTCATTGTAGCTGTGAATGACCATAAAGAACTTTACTCATTTAACTCCAAGAGTGTATATTGTCCTCATACTGGGTGAACAAGAGAGGGATAGGTGCTCTGGGGAATATAAGACATTGTCCCTAGTCCAGACTGCTGTCAGAGCTTGCCTAAACAATTTCAGTGACTTCCTAATTGGTCTCCGCCCTTCTAGTCTGGCACTTCTAAACAACAGCCAGAATGAGTTTTTTATGTATTTACTTTTACTTACATACAGTAAAATTTACTCTTTTTGGTGTCCAGTTCTATAGATTTGATAAATGCACGCTGTACAACCACACCACCATCAAGATATAGATATAGGGCCGGCCCCGTGGCTTGGCGGTTAAGTGCACGAGCTCCGTACTGGCAGCCCGGGTTCGGATCCCGGGCGCGCACCGACGCACCACTTCTCCGGCCATGCTGAGGCCGCGTCCCACATACAGCAACTAGAAGGATGTGCAACTGTGACATACAACTATCTACTGGGGCTTTGGGGGGAAAAAGGAGGAGGATTGGCAATAGATGTTAGCTCAGAGCCAGTCTTCCTCGGCAAAAAGAGGATTAGCACGGATGTTAGCTCAGGGCTGATCTTCCTCACGAAAAAAAAAAAAAGATATAGATATATACTATTCTATATCTTGACGCCAAAAAAATACGGGGGCATGCTGCCTCATTGCAGTCAACTCCTTCCCTGACTCCCACCCCTGGCAACCACTGATCTGTCTTCTGCTCCTGCAGTTTTCCTTTTCCAGAAAGTCATAGAAATGGAATCATACAGATGTAGCCTTTTGAGCCTGGCTTCACTTAGCATAATGCATTTGAGATTCATCCACGTTGTTGCCTGTGTCAGTAGCTCATCCATTTTTTTTGTTGACTCTTATCCCATTGTATGGATGGGCCAGAGTTTGTTCATCCATTCATCAGCTGAAAGACATCACAGTTGTTTCCATTTGTTGGCGACTATGAATAAAGCTGCTGTAAACATTTGCATACTTATTTTTGAGTGAGCATGTGTTTTCATTTCTCTTGGGTAATCACCTAGGAGTGGGATTGCTGGGTCACATGCTAAGTACGTGTTTAACTTTGTGAGAAACTGCCAAACCGTAGCATGAGCTTTTAAAAACATAAATCAGTTCGTGTCACTTCTCTACCTAAAACCTGCCAAAGGCTTCCTGTCGTGCTGAAAATAAACTTGAAGCCTCCTTGCAAGCCTTTTGTGATCCGACCCCTGCCTTTCTCTGCAGGCTCATTTTTGCCAGCTGCTCCTCACTCACTCCATTCCAGCCTTCTCTCTGTTTCTTCCTTGTCTTTTTCGCAAACAGGCTGAGTTTTTCCCCTCTTTAGGATCTTTCCGCTGGCTTATAAGCCCCCTGCCTGGCATGTTCTTGCCCTGTCTTCACATGGCTGGTTGCTTCTTGTCATCTATGTCTCAGCTTCAATGTCACCTTCCAGCAGGTCTTCCTTAATGCCCCCAATCTAAAGTAGCCACTTTGGGGCCGGCCCCGCAGCTTAGCGGTTAAGTGCACGCGCTCCACTACTGGTGGCCCGGGTTCAGATCCCGGGCGCGCACCGATGCACCACTTGTCCAGCCATGCTGAGGCGGCGTCCCACATACAGCAACTAGAAGGGTGTGCAACTATGACATACGTAGTTGACATATGTAGATGACATAGTTGACATACATAGCTTTGGGGAGAAAAAGGGAAAAAAAGGAGGAGGATTGGCAATAGATGTTAGCTCAGGGCTGATCTTCCTCACAAAAAAAATAAATAAATAAAGTAGCCACTTCCCCAGCCACTCTCTATCACATCAGAGCACTTATTACTCTCTGATATTTTCTTGTTTGGTTGTTTACATGCTAGCTCTGTCATTTATAAGTCACCCCTCTGGCTTCAGCTCTCTTATCCTTAAAGTGGACATAATAATGCCCCTTCCCCTACTTGATGATTTTTTTTCCACAATATTACAACCTTCTTGAGGCAGGAACTACATCTTCTTCAAAATTTTCTCTCTCAATTTATTCTATTCTATTTCAACTGTCTACACATTGTCATTAAAAGGTTCTTAAATGGGCGAATTCCCCTTTACCTCTATAGTTGAATCTCTAAATTAGAATGCGACAAGTGGTTTTAGAGAGCAACTGGTGACGATCTTAATGATGGACGTTTAAGTAATTGTCCTGCACAGTTTTCACACAAACCTCTGTTTTTGTCAGCATATTTCAGAGTTCTGAAGGAAATGGACTCACAGGGACTCTTGGTGGGCGGGGAACTCAAAATATAATGCAGTCATTATCAGTTGTGCTAGAGCTAGCTGATACTGGGCTGCAGGAGCTGGTTGTTACATTTTCAGGAATTTTGCTAGCCGGTTGTTAAACCATTGGCAGATATTTACACCACAGAAATTGGAAAACTCTACAAATCAGGGCTGGTTTTTTTTTCCTGATTTACCAGCACACCACTGACTGAGAGGTATAGAACAAGAGAGAACGGTGATAAGATGAAGGTATTTAAAGGAAGTAGTAAAAGATGGTCTTAGCGTAAAGATTCAGGGTCCTGAGTGGATTTACATTCTGGCTCAAACACTTATCAAATATATGAACTTGAGCAACTTCATCCACTCATTATTCTTCAAACACTCGCTGAGCATCCACTCTGGGATAGAGCAGAGAATAATGTTTATAAGGTCCCTACCCTCAGGTAGCTAACAGTCCAGTGGGGGAAAGGAAAATAAGTGATTACAGTATGGAGTGAAGACTGCCATGATGGGAAAGTGTAGGGGCTGCAGGAGCACAGAGAAGAGTAAGCAGCCAACCCGATGGGGGACTCAGGGCTGGATGAAGGAGGAAGGGAGTGTCCACTAGGTGGAAAGGACTGGGATGTGGCTGGGAGAAATGGGTAAAGGAAGAGTGCTCCCCATCAGGGAAGAGTATCATGGCTTATTTTTAACCCCTTTGGACCTCAATAAGAGAGTAAAAAAGTAGTACCTACTTTGCAAGAGAGTTGTGAGAATGTATTGATATGACAGAGTAATTGGGACATATTGATAAAGATGGAAGCTGACCAAGGAGTGGTGACTGAGTTGGTGGCATCGGCACTGGCTTCAGACTAGCCTGGGTAAGACTTAGCTGCACACGTTAGATCAGAATATCAACTTCTCATCGGACCTTTTGTCTTTTCAGCCAAACCTCACCGCAAGACACCTCCTGGAGAAGAACAAAGGCCGTCAGTCAGCTGGCACAAAAAGCCTGTCCCTGGTGTCTTCATCATCCAGAGGCAAAGCAATTAACACACCCACCCTCCGAAGGGGCCCTGGGTCCAGGAGGAAGGGACCCGGGCAGTTCTCCATCACGACAGCCTTGAACACTCTCAACAGGATGGTCCATTCTCCTTCAGGGCGCCATATGGTGGAGATCAGCACCCCAGTGCTTATCAGCTCCAGCAACCCCTCTGTGATCACCCAGCACACGGAGAAAGCAGATGTTCTTCCCAGCTCTGTGGGGCAGGTAGGGAACAAACCCCTGGGATGAGGGCACCTTGGAGTTGGGCAAGTGATCCATACCATGTCACAAGCACTATTGGATGTTTAATACCTGCTAAGCACCCATAATGCATTAACAATAACTAACGTCAGATGTATTATGTGTTAGAGCTGTATACACGTGATCCCATTTCATGCTTGAAACAGCCTGTAAGTTAGGTATTATTATTGGTATTCCCATTTTACAGATGAGAAAACTGAGGCTTAGAGGACTTAACTTGCCAAATTCTCACAGATCCTTTGCTTCCCCATGCTAAGAGTTGTGACATAGTTCCTGTCGCTTAGAGAACTTCCCTCCAAGGAGATAATGGCACCCATTTTGTAGAGAGGGTTCTGGCATCACAATTTGACATTCACTGTTCCAACCCCTGGCAATGTATTAGGCATCGTGTGAAAGGAAGGAAAAGAAAGAAAAAGAAACTATGGGTTATTAGGTGTTTTCAGGACTGGCTACATAATTTGTAGGGCCCAGTGAAAAATGAAAATGCAGGTCCCTTGCTCAAAAATGATTAAGAATTTCAAGATGGCAGCAGCAGAGCATTAAACCAAGTGAAGGGCCCTTCTGAGCAGAGCTCTGTGTGACTAAACATGTCACACACCCACGAAGCCAGCCCCTGGGTGTTTTCACATGGAGCATCTAATAAGATACTGTATGTAAAGTGTTTAGCACAATGCCAGGCACATACTAAGCACCCTATCAGCATTAGCTGTTAGTGCTGTTGTTATTAAGCCTGGTGACTGAGTTGCCAACTGAAGGGAGATAAGCCAAGGGGCGGTTGTGGCACTCCGGCAGCAGAAGTACTTCTAACAGCCTGTGGCTATTTAGGTTGAAGGGTACTTTAAAAGATGAAGGACTGGAGGTATGAGGCAAAGTAATTAAGAAGAACTGCATGTTGGGTATTCTGCTGAGAACACTCTTTGGAGCCACGCAGGTGGCAACTTGAAAGGACAAACCTCAACTCGCACTGATGTATCTTTTTTTTCTGATGTATTTTTTTAAAAGCTGTAAGTCTTGTTTTTAAACATGAGTCTCTACCTTGGGATTAAATGGCTTAATTGGACTCTAATCCCTTTTTAACAAGACGAGGAGGAGGAGAAAGTCAAGGGCTCCTCAAAGACCTGTGTGCTGGTCTAAAAAGAAAACAATCACCTCCTACAACACTTTATATCTTCTGCCACTGTCTGGATCTCTAAGAGGCTGACTGTTCATGTAATTCTGCCCACCGTCTGCACTACATACAGACGCATACACACGAATACACTTTGCTCTCCACGTACGCTCTCCTTGCTTGAGAAACTGTAAAACTTTCCAACACACAAATTCCAAATGCTTTTTTACAAGTACATACACGCTTTGTGCCCAAAGTTCTCCCTCCACCACACACACACATGAACACACACACACTCTAAAATGGGGGCCTAATGACTCACAACTAAGCCAAAGACTAACAGAATTTTTCTGAAATCATTCTTTATATATAGACATGGATATATAAGGTACAGCCCACACTCAGTAGATAGAAGCTAGCTCACTCGGTGGTAAGTTGGCTTCCCAAAAGATTTAGCCAAGAGCCACTTTCCATTTGCCTTTTTAATTCTCCTTCTGGGTCGTTTGCCTCCTCTACAGAGAGGCTGGACCGGAGTGGAGAATCCTAGTAGGTTTCAAAACAAGTAGTATGCCTTCCTAGTTTTTACAAAAAGTGAGAATTCCAAAGTATGGCCTTTGCATATCTTATTCCCAGGGAACCAATGCATAGTATTGATAGCCTTTTCTCAATTCAGATGGCTTTGGGTTATTAGTATTTCTACATATTTGCCCAGGTATTGTCAAAAACACACTCTTAAAAAGTCCCATTTATGAGCTACAGCCAAAGATGAGTGGAGAGCTGAACAAATGACAAGGTCTCCTGCTTCCTCTTTCTCTAACTCCTTGAGAGCTGTAGTTGGATCTAGCTTATCAAGCTCCCCCTACCTTCTTCATCCCAGCACCCCGCACAGTGCCTAGTCCTGAGTAGGTGCTCAATAAATCAAGGAATCCAGACTTTTGACTTAAACACCTGGGCAGATGGTGGTGACATATACTTAGGGAAGACTGGAGGAGAAATAGTTTCCTGTAGAAAGATCATAGGTCAGTGTAACTCTTACAACCAAGAAATATCTGTTGAGTGCTTACAATGTAATAGTAACCATGGTGAGTACTTGGGATTCTACTACCAAAACAACAAGATCAGTAATAATAATCTCAAACATTTATTGAAACTAATGGTATATATAGATGATAGATAGAGAGATGATTGATAGATAGATAGATAGATAGATAGATAGATGATAGGTAGATAGATAGACAGATAGATAGATAGATAGATAGATAGATAGATAGATAGATAAATAAAGGAGGGTTAAAGAGTCAGTTTTCTGAAATCATCCCAGTTAAACAGCCCTGTCTCCCTCCTATGGTATAGAAAAGACCTGAATTGTCTTTCGGGTCTTAAACACCAAAGGGTAGCAATTGCTACCTTCTCGTAAAGGGAAGCCACAGCAAGGAATTTTGTTTTCCTGTTATCATTATGTCTTCCCACCTGTAAGAAACCACCTGACACATCTGGCTAGAATATAAGGAAATGACCTCAAAGACAAACTTTGGACTAAAAACAACTGTACTTGAAAATAATTCAGGATTAGACCTGAAGAGGCTGAGCAGGTTCCGTGGAAAATTGCTCTGGAGGACGTTAAGTAGAAGGATTGGAACCAATGCATTTGGCCTTTGGGAGAGTTCTGGAGATTATCTCTAGGTCTGTCTAGGTCTGATTATCTCTAGGTCTAGGGAAGGAATGCCTTACAAGGAGAAAGAAATTCAATTGCCTGGGACACCAGTTAGAAAGAAGGCCTTCAACAATGCCTCTTAAGGGGAAGTCACAATTGCCAGGCCTGCCCTGGTGATTCTAAAATTGACTTGTTCAGGATGTGGAGCCTGTTTGTCCTATCTTGCACGCTCACAGAACGATGAGGTGTTCTTGTTTTCTCTAACACTGGGCTTCCTAAGAGGTTCTGCTCCCTCAGTATACCCCCCAGGGAACTCAGCCTCTTCCTCCCCCGCCTTACCTCACTACCAATTCCCTCAACCCCCTCCTTCAGCCTGCCCCTCCTTCTGTATCTCAGATCCGGGATAGTGGAACTGCTGTACAACTACAAAGCCTGTCATCATTCCAGAGTTCTCCCTTTCCCTCACTTCCTACATCCAGTTAGTCAGCAAGCTCATTTTGCTGCCTAAATAGTTATTGCTTCTGTCCATTCCATCCCACAGCCTTAGTTTTGGTCCTCATCTCTTGCCTCAACTATTGCTTCAGCCTCCTTCCTGGTCTCACAGAACCTTGCTCAATCACTGCACCTCACCCCCCAACCCTTCACCCCCAACCGCTCTTCCAATCTGGCCTCCATAATCATCTCTTGAAAACCCAAATCCATTCAGCCATTTCTCTTCCCCAAACCACCAGTGGTTCCCTACAGTCCTCAGAAGCAGTAATATCTGCTTTATTGTGTGGCCATGAAAAGCTAAAAACTATAATAGATGATTTACAAACATTATGACTATCCTCACAACTGTTCAGAGTAGTCATTGGTGTGCCCATTTTACCAAATAGGAAAACTTGGGGACAGAAAGATTAGGAGCTTGCCCAAAGTTTCAAAGCTGGGAACAGAGCCAGGATTTGAGGGCAGATGTGTGCTCTCTCCCCTAAATAAGTTAAGACATTCTAGAACCTCCGTGACCTAGCTACACTCCCCCTTCCAGCACCCCCAGACCTCCCTACACACCACAGATGTGCACATACACATGCAGATGTGTGCACATACGTACACACACACACACGAGCATGCACACACACAAAAGTTGAAGTGATCTTCTCAACAGTCCTAAGCACGGTGTATACTAGGCCACCTCTTTGCCTTTTGTCCTTGTACCCAGCAGAGTACCTGCATTATTCTGGGCAATAAACAAATGTTCGTTGAATAAATAAATGCTGTTCCTCCTGGAATTTACTTTTGGTGCGTTTGCGTGTCACAATCATGTCCATACCCGCAACGCCCTGTATGCGTATCATTTCTGCAAGGAAGCTCTCGCCACTCCACCCCTGCAGAATTACTATCTCCCCGCGCTGTTCACAGGACATTGTTTATACAGGCATATCTTGTTTTACTGTGCTTTGCTTTATTGTGCTTTGCAGATACTGCGTTTTTTACAAATTGAAGGTTTGTGGCAACCCTGCATTGAGCAAGCCTGTTGGTGCCATTTTCCCAACAGCATTTGCTCACTTCATGTCTCTGTGTCACGTTTTGGTATTCCTCACAATATTCCAAACTTTTTCATTATTATTGTATTTGTTATGGTGATCTGTGATCAGTGATCTTTAATGTTACTATTGTAATTGTTTTGGGGTGCCACGAGCCACGCCCATATAAGACGGCAAACTTAATCTATAAATGTTGTGTGTACTCTGACTGCTCCCCCGACCAGCCGTTCCCTATCTCTCTCCCTCTTCTTGGGCCTCTCTATCCCATGAGACACAACAATATTGAAATTAGGCCAATTAATAACCCTACGATGGCTTCTAAGTGTCCAAGTGAAAGGAAGAGTCACGTGTCTCTCATTTTAAATCAAAAGCTAGAAATGGTTAAGCTTAGTGAGGAAAGCACATCAAAAGCCGAGACAGTCCAAAAGCTAGGCCTCTTGTGCCAAACAGTTAGCCAAGTTGTGAATGAAAAGGAACAGTTCTTAAAGGAAGTTAAGAGTGCTATTCCAGTGCACTTTGATACGAATGATAAGAAAGTGAAACAGCCTTATTGCTGATCTGGAGAAAGTTTTAGTGGTCTGGATAAAAGATCAAACCAGCCACAATATTCCCCTAAGCCAAAGTCTAATCCAGAGCAAGGCCCTAACTCTCTTCAATTCTATGAGGGCTGAGAGAGGTGAGGAAGCTGCAGAAGAAAAGTTTGACGCTAGCAGAGGTTGGTTCTTGAGGTTTAAGGAAAGAAGCCGTCTCCATAATA